GTACGGGGCCTAATTTGCCCTTTTTCAATTTTGCAATTAAACGGACCCTTAGTTTTCTCATTTCTACCGCCTAGCCTCGAACCACCTATTAATTTGGAATCGGTTAAAGGTGGTTGGAGTCTTCTGGGTGAGGGGGTAAAAAGAGTAGAGTGGAGATTGAAAGATTCTTATCGTACATGCTCTTGTCATTTATGTGTCCGAACGGGAGCAAATTGAAAGGTGTTGCGGTTTGCAGAATACAAAAAATGGAAGGGAAATGGGCACCAAACAGGCACTAGCTGTTACTAAAGGTTATTGAAGAAGCAGAAGAAGGAAAAAAATGCTCATCTTATAGTGACGTACACCATACGTGGTAGTTGGCGCGGCACCCATTCCTCTCCCAGTGTTTGTCGATTTCATTTCAGAATTAGCCACCTCCGCTCACTGTCAAGTAATAATTCATTTTCAATACATCAACAACGCGAGCTTTAAACGACGTCGGGTAATGTCGTCGTCTTTCTCTACCAACCAATTCCTTAGAGCTCCAACTTCTGGAACTTTACGACTCTACTCGTCGACCCTCCAACTCCGATCTCGCCGACTCCAGTCTTTGCTTGTTTGGATTAGCCGATTCTTTGCTGGTTTGGATTTGTCTCACTCCTCTTTTAATTGATCTTTTTGTTTCTCTTCATAAATAACGCCTCAAGACTTCAAACAAATGATAAACCCCATGCAAATAAGTACACAGTGGTAATGCAAACAACTTTTTGTACATTTACAAACAAATTATTATGAAGTACAGAGCGTCTTTTTCGAACATTTTCCACAACTTTTTCGTTAATCCAATTTTAACAACATTTATGTGGGGGAAAAAAAAAGGAAAGAATTTTTATATCAAAATTTGAAATTGAAAAGTGAGAAAAATAAAAAATAAAGGTTCGAAGATTCGGTTTGACGTTAAACATAGTTTACCCTCACTTCTCTTGTCTCAAGTCCGATCACCGGTGGATCTAGCACTTGACGGACACCGGCAGTGTCGAAATTTTTTTCTCTTATATAGGGCGGTCATTTGAGCGATCATCTGAGCTCACCTCTCGTCCTGAATCGGCTAATGAGTCTGACCCTATCTAGTAGGAGCATGAACCTTGAAAAAAAGACTTAAGCCCTTGTTTGATCCCATTATTTTTAAAATACATTTTTTTCTCTACTTTTCAATCACACATTTTTCAATAAAATAATAATATATGTGAATACAAAACATTTTCTATTTTTTAATTATATATTTTTCATCAATTTACTATTTAAAAATATATTCTCTGCCAAATAATGGGGCTCAAACAAGAGCTAAAGCTAAACTGCCATGAGTATAGAATGCCATAATGTGTCGTTGAATTTTTTTCTGGTGACCAGGTTTTTTCTTCCCCAGCAATAATTCATATTTTTATCCATTTTAGAGAATAATGTTAAGAAAATTAACTGGGTTGAGTCCATTTTTGGAATAAATGAATTTTGGAATAATAATTTTTTTAGAAAATGTGTAATTAAAAAATATTAAAAAAGAAATAAATTTACGAGTAAAATTATTTTATAGAATAATTTGTGAATGAGAATAAATTTTTTAAAAAATAATTTTTGAGAAAATGAGTTTTAAACTGGAGCTTAATAAAAGCATTAGACTTACTAAAAAGGTCAACTCGTCATTCAACTCAAAATAAAAGGAGTATTTAGGCTGTGTTTGTTTCCGATTTCAAGCAAAATTCCAACCTTTGCTACAGTATTCTGTCCACAATATTTGACTTTATCGTGTCATAGTGGGTCCACAATTTTGGACAAAAAGGTTCCAAAAATCCATTTTCTTGTTGAAATAATTTCTCCCAGACATGCCTTTAATAGAATAATGTGTGCAGGGCTTCCGTCAATTTTGTACGTTAGAGGGGAACAATTGTCCTCCCGTGATCGGTAGAGGATGGGGGAAAACCCTATAATGTAGAGAGATGTCACAGGTACGAGAACGGAAAAATACAGGGAAGACACAAACATGTGAGGACCACTTTTTAAATAATATTTGAATCGGGTGGGACCTACATTCATGTGACTCTTCTACAAAACTTCTGGCATAATAGCTCTTTACATTCAGCATTTTCTGTAATGTATCAACCCTGTACATGTAGCTTTTTACTTGTTAAGAATAAATTTTACATTGGTTAAGTCAACGTTTAATTTTGATAAAAAAAAAAAAAGTAGATTTTGATAAAAGTTAATGAAATCCTTGTTAGATCATGATTAAAATTAGATTTTTAATAAATTTTAATAAAAATTTATGAAATGAGTGGTTGAAAAGTTATGTGACGTATAAAATATATGATTAAAATTAATTATTAACTTTAACCTAATTAAAATCTAAATTTTAATCGGTACCAGACATGGACGAAATATGTAACTAAAAAGTTGGTAAAAATTTTGAATTCTATAAAATGTGATTAAAAATTAGTTTGAAGAAAAACGGCTTTGAGGAAATGGGGTCAAACAGTGCTTACGGATAAAATGAGTTTTCTTTTTGGAGAAAAATGAGTTTTAAAATGATAATTTTTTGACAAATGTGTAAATAAAATCTTTGAAACAGTTTTGGGTTTATATATAGAATATTGGGTTAAATTGATCAATATCCACCAAACTTTATACTTAGTGTCATGATGACTATTCAATTTGATTTTGTTTCACTAGGCCACCAATTTTATATTTAATGTCACCATATCCACTCAATCTAATTTTATTTCACCATGGTCATCCAATTTCTCTTCGTTATTTTAACTAATTTTAAAAGGGGTAAAATGATAATTTTACATTTATATATATATAATTAAATTTAAAAAAACAAAAATAATTTTTTTTTTAAAACAAACTTTTTGTTAAAAAAATAAATTTTTATTTTATTTTATTTTTCTAAGTACCATTTTTTAAAATAACTTTTTATTTTATTTTTCTAAGTAACGTTTTTTAAAATAAGTTTTTATTTTATTTTAAAAAACATTTTTTAAAATAAGTTTTTATTTTGTTTTTGTTTTTTTAAAATTTATTTTACATATATAATGCAAAGTTACAATTTTACACATTTTAAAATTAGTGAAAATTGTGGAAAAAAAATTAGACAGCAATGGTAAAACGTTACATGAAATTAGGTGATTATGGTGGAACGTAAAAAGAAGCTTGATAACTATGGTGAAATAAAATCAAATTGAATGGTTATGGTGACGCTAAGTATAAAGTTAGGTGACCATAGTGAAACAAAATTAAATTAAGTTGTCATGATAACACCACGTATAAAATTGAGTGATCATTGATGGAATTAACCCATAAAATATTTTATTGTCTTGTGTGGTTGAAAATAATTTTTTTAAAAAAATTAGTTTTGATTTAACTG